TTGCCTTCTGATCTTATTAATGTATTTTATGGTATTGAACTGCACCGATTTCAAATCTTGATTCTGAAGCCAGATTCACCCCCGATTTCTTGGAAAGAATGAAGTTGTTTACATCTAACCTGACCTGTTTTACATGAACAGATGATTTTTTCAGTAAATCTGTGTAGTAGTGGTTTTATGGCCCTAGTTTAGCATACAGTGAGTGGCCAATCTAATGAAATGCTGGCCGACATTCTTAAATGCGTTTTCGACAAGGAAGAATTACTTGCATGAGGTTGTAAAATTGATTATGATGTGTCATAATCCTGCAGTATTTTGGACTCGCCGTGATGTCGGCTTTTGAATGCCTTCCTTTTCGACCTACAGAAACCGCATTCAGTAAAAAAATAACCACTTGACTAGCGTACATTTTTCACATTAATTTTCGATTGTAATATAAATTCAAATATCTTTTATGAAAAGCATGCGCAAAAATATGCTTTCTTCTACTCATTCGGGAGAAACTCACGTTGTCCTTACATTTTATACCTTAAGAAAGTGTATATTTAGGTCTTGAAAAGGGTCCCTAATTCCTGAATAATGTTGAGCCAGATCAGCCGTTACATTAGCGTTTAGCAATTTCGGGCTACAAGATGAATGTTTTCCGCGTAAGGGAAATCATATACTTCTCTATGCATTTAAGAAGGTACCATACAGCGTTCATAAAAGGCCTCAATAGATGTGGACTATGTTGGACATTTCATGAGGAGCATTGGTACGATGCTGTATGAATGGACTCTGCACGGTCTTAAAGATCTCATAATTAGAAACTTTTGTAAAGCCTAAATATGCCCTTTCTTTGGGCATAAAATGTAAAGAAAACGTGATTTTCTACCAAACGAGTAAAGATATTATATTTGAATATATTTGAATTTATATTACCATCGCAAGTTAACGTGAAAAATGCATGCTACTTAAGTAGTCATTTTTACCGAACGTGGTTTCTGTAGGTCGAAAAGAAGTGCATTTATAAGCCGACATCTGGCGCGTCCAAAATACTGTAGGTTTATGTCACATGATAATCAATTTTACAACCCCACGTAAGTACTCCTTCCTTGTCGAAAACGCATTTCAGAATGTCGGCCAACATTTCATGAGATCGGTCACGCACTGTATGTCTCAGCGGGCCGTTGGGGAAAAAATAACAGTCACAGCAGTACGCTTTCGCCCCTGGACGGAGAGGTTTATCGTTTGGTTTGTCTCAATCATCCAAGAAATCGTTCACAGAAACCAAAAAGCCGCCGTGAATGCGCAGTATTTACAGCAGCCAACATATGCTATCTGGGGATGTGCTCGCAGAGCGTCTTGATTCACCAGCTCCCCAATCCAGTAGTTTGTTTTATTTTTGTCGCACACGATTTCATAGACTAGCCTAATTGCCGGTATTACGACCTTATGTCGATGTTGGTATTCCCATTCAAACCTCCTCATTGGCTGTTTGTACTTTATTTTTCAGCTTTATCTTCTCCCTTCGAGGTAA